ATGTATCAAGAGGAAGAGACCTTTACTTTCAGCGTTGTTGTCCTCTAGTGACTAGAAGTCTGGAGATCTTCATCGAAAGTCAGTTGAATGAAACAACAGCTCCTCCTCCTCCTCCTCCTCCTCCCACCTGTGCTGCCGTCTTCTTTTGCTGCTTCTCCACTGACAGGATTGATCGTTTGAGCGAGTGCACGCTTTCTTGAATCTCTTGGAGGTTATTGCCTGCTCCTCCTCCTCTACCACCTCTTCCTGCTCCTCCTCCACCTCTTCCTCCTCCACTACCACCCCTTCCTGCTCCGCCGGCTCCTCCTCTGCCTCCTTCTCGTCGAGAAGTCGAATAGACCTTGACAATCCGCTTCTCTTCTTCTTCCTCCTCCCACGCCTCTTCCCCCGCAAACTCCACACGAACTTTTCCTCCGCTTCCCCTGCAGTGGACCTGCAGCTGCTCTCAAGTCACTAGACGTCATCGCAGCAACTGCACCTACCAGCTCCTCTGCCTCCAGACAAGCTCGCAGTAGGTCTGAGTCGATCTCCTCCTCCTCCTCCTCCCGGGCTTCCATGGCTCCTACGCCAGCCTTCTCCCTCCTCCTCTCTTCCTCCTCCTCCCGCATGTCGTCCCCCCCTCCTCTCTCCACGTAAGCTTCGATGCCCGTCATGGCCGCCTGCAGCTCTTCCACCTCCCTCCTCTGCTTCTGCAGCTGCAGCCGCAGGGCCTTCCTGTGCCTCCCGAACCTCTTCTTCCCCCGCAGAACCGCAGCGAAGAGAAGGTCCTGCCGCTCTGGCTCAGACTCGCTCCTGTTGCTCTGTCAGAGAGAGGAAGGGGGTGGAGGGGGGAGAGACAGAAGGGAGTGGGAGAGACAGAAGGAGGGAGGGAGAGACAGGAGGGAGTGGGAGAGGAGGAGGGAGTGGGAGAGACAGAACGGAGTGGGAGAGGAGGAGGGGAGAGGAGGGGTCACCCCTCTCGCAGCATGAAACTTGTGTCGGCGTTGAGGCTGAGGAGCATAAACTTGAGAGCAGCTTCCGTCTCAGTGATCGAGACCTTCAGCTGAAGAACACGTCACTCGTGTGCTCTGATGGAGAGCCAGGGAAGAAGCGCGAGGAGGAGGAGGAGGAGGAGGAGGAGGAAGGGTGAGGGCGGCACCTGTTTGTACTCGAAGTTCACAGTCTTGCTCTCCTCCAGCAGGTCTCTGCATCTCCCGTGGATCCTCTTCATCCCTTCTCGCACGTGCCGCCGCATCCTCCCGGTTCCCCTCGACCCGCAGCAGACCTGAGCTACCTCGCTACTCGACTCCAGCAGCGCCTTGCAGCGCAGGATCAGCGACTTGAGCCGCCCCGTCTCGTCTTCCATCTCTCGCTTCACCCCCGCCCACTTCTGCTTCAGCAGCTGCTTCACCTCCTGCTGCCTGTCAGCCCTGCCGTCCCCTCCCCCTCCTCCCACCTGCAACGACGAGCGGGTGGTGGAAGTGACCTGGGCGAGCTCTCCTCCCTCCCTCTGCCTTGCAGGATTCGAGCAGCAGGCATCCTGTCAGGCGTCAGGCGTGCGGGATAAGAGTCGTATGCTCGCCTGCAGTGTCACATGCGCGTTGGAGGGCTGAGCTGCTGCTTCCTCCCCCTCCTCCTCCTGGGCTCTCTCCGACGTCTCTTCTGCCAAAATTGACGATTGCACTCCGACTTCTCGGGTCTGCTGCTGCTGCTGCTGCTCCTCCTCCTCCTCTTGCTCCTGCTCCTGCTCCTGCTTTCTCACTTCCTCCTCCAGCACCCGAGCATCCTTGAGCAGCGGGGAGTCGCTGACCTCCCGGTGGAAGGAGGAGGAGGAGATCTCCGAGATGGCCTTGATGATCGCTCCTTCGTCGAACCCAGCAGAGCTCCTGCTGCTGCTCACAAGCGCAGGATGCGAGGCCCTGCTGGTGACCTGGGAAGCCCTCTTGTCGTCCTCCCCCTCCCCCTCCTCCTCCTCGCGGCTCTGGGAGGGAGAGATCATAGTAGTCTCTTCGTTGTTCAGAATGCTCGTCCCGAGACCAGCTTTCAGTAGCAGACCTTCTATGTTGGGCTGAGAAGAGTGAGAGTCAGGAGAGTCGAAGACGGAGGGAAGAGCGGAGGAGGAGGGGGAAGGGACAAAGGCAGGAGGGGAGGGGGAGGTGGGGGGAGGACAAGGGTCTTACAGGTTTTAGAGCAACATCCTCCTCCTCCAAGTCTCCGTCACTGAGCACGTGATCTATCTTATCTCCTTCAAACGCGCAGCTCTCCGCATCCTCCTCCTTCTTGCTCTCGGGCAAGCTCCCCTGCACCTCTTCCCACGTGTCGTCTGACAGCTGCGAGAGGTCTGTTGCCTTCCGGATGAGGAAGTTGATCAGCTTCAGCCGTGCGTCTCCTCTGTTGGGACATAGCTGGGCCTGCCCATCCTATCAGTCTTTGAGGGAGGGAGGGAGGGAGGTTGAGGAGAGGAGAGGAGAGGGGAGGGGAGGGGAGGGGAGGAGGGAGGGAATACAAAGTAAGGATGACGGAGCGCTTGTACGGCTCCTAGCCTCTCGTGCGGGCACCACTCGAGCAATCTCCGAAGGAGGTCCAACCCAGTCTTTCCGATGGGCATCATGTTGTCGAGATCAGTTCCCTTCAATCTAGATGCCAAGGTCAGCGGTGGAGGAAAGGAGGGGTGGAATGAGGAGGAGGAGGAGGAGGAGGAGGAGGAGGAGGAGGAGGAGGAGGACCTGCTTTCGTGACTTGGGAAGACAAGCTGGTCGAATGCAGCTCCGAGGTAGGATAGCTGTTCAAGAGGAACTTACTCCCTCTCCTCCTCTTTCTCCTCCTTCACCTGCTTCCTCGATGGGAATCCTAGGATCTTGAACATGCTGTAGAGGAGGCCAGCAGAGTCGTCAGCTTCGAACAAGCGAGCTCCTGTCATCATCTCTGCCCAGATACAGCCGATGGCCCATATGTCCTGCTCCGTCCCGTCCTTGCTCGACCCCATCAGCTTCTCGGGGGTCCAGTAGCACTTGTCGTGCATCTCCTCCTCTCCAGCTCCCTCCGAGGACTCGTTGAGGTCGAGACCGGGCGAGGACAGCAGGTTCACCGTCCCCGAGGACGAGATGGCGATGGTCCAGGGGCGGATGTTCCGATGCTTCCTCCGCAGGGCATGCAGGGGTGCGATACTCTCAAGCATCTCGAGGAGGATGGTGGCAGAGATCTCCTCCGGGATGATCAGCTCTTCCCTCTTGTGACGGTATGCCCTGGCCACTTGCAGCAGGGTCCCGAGGAGGCAGAGCTGCTGGCCGTCGTACTGCAGGTCGATCATGGGCTCCTGTGCCTTCTCAGCATCTTGCGACCTGATGCCATGGAGGACCGAGGAGAAGGAGTCAGAGACATGCCCCCTGGTCTCATAGACAGTCAATAGCACCTGGATGCCTCGATGCTGTCCTGAAGCCTACTGCTCCCCGGAACGTACACTCGTAGAGAGCTCATATCATTCGCTGCAAACACGAGCAGAGCGTCAGCATCCACGAATGACAAAAAGACGCACATGCAACCTCCTCCCTCCCTCCCCCTCCCTCCTCCTCCCCCTCACCCTCGCTCCCCCTCGCTCGCTCACTCACCCTCACCCTCACCCTCGCTCCCCCTCACCCTCGCTCCCCCTCGCTCACTTCGCTAAAACCTTAAAGAGGTGAAAAATTCAACAGGAGAGCTCGTCCTCATCATCCTCGTCTTCATCGACATCGTCTTCATCGAGGTCAGGCTTGTTTTACAGACCTACGGCCACTGAATATTTGAACTAGTTCTTCCGACTCGGATTCTGACAGTTCTAGTTCGTCCAGCAGGTAAACACTTGTTGCAGATCCGATGTACATACTTAGGCTTTAATTCCAGCTCCAGCTCCAGCTCCAGCTCCAGCTCCTCGTCATCCTCATCCTCATCAGGAAAGAGGCCTGCTCCGAAACGGCAGAGACGAGATTGAGTGTATTGAGTGTTTAAAGCTGTTCACACCGCTTCTCGCAAGCTCACGTGGCATAATTGAGGCTTCGACCATGGCGGCATCCCTTCAGTCTTAATGCCCATCTCGAGAAAAGGCCCTGGACCTGAGCAGCTATCACCTCA